TCACAGGTTCTCTGACATGAAAAAGAGGTAATCACTCAAGACAGCTGGGCAGCCGTCCTCTGCCTCAGCGAAACCACAGATCTCCGGAGAGTTCGTTCTGACTCTCCCCACACAGAGGGGGCTGACAGAGTCTAAGCTTTTGCTAATGAATATATAATGTTTTGGCTTTGAGGTGTGAAGCCATCTGCTGACTCTAGAGTCTGGGCGGCTTTCCAGGTCTTATCATCTTCCATTAGGAGCAGAACCTCCTGAAATTGGATACCTCCACCTCGCCGCTGGTTGGCTGTTCTTGCGCCCAGTGTCCCCGGCACAGTTTCTCTGCGTGGCCGTCTTCCTGCGCCAGAGGAGTCTGACTTTCACAGTTAGCTCACTCCACAGTGGCCTCGGTTTTTGTTCGTCAAATAAAGATGCCAAAAACCCAGTCTTCGCTGTCAAGAAACCTACTCTAACAGGAAAGGGACTTAGGTCAACATTGCTCAGAGTGAAAGGAATCAACGTGTCAGAAAAGAAGTTCAGCGATGACAACCGAGCCACCAAATCAGGACAACCCTGGGAGGCGGCCATCAGCTCAGCCTTACAGTCACTTAAGGGTTTTGGGGGAATGAGTGCACTTTATTTATTTTTTTAAATATATATTTTATTAATTTTTTTTACAGAGAGGAAGGGAGAGGGATAGAGAGCTAGAAACATCAATGAGAGAGAAACATTGACCAGCTGCCTCTTGCACACCCCCTACTGGGGATGTGCCCGCCAGCAATGAACATGCCCTTGCCGGAATCAAACCTGGGGCCCTTCCGTCTGCAGGCTGATGCTCTATCCACTGAGCCAAACCGGTTTTGGCATGGATGAGTGCATTTTAAAGAGAAAAGTGAGCTGTACCTGGTTTGGCTCAGTGACTAGAACATCAGCTCTTGTACGGGTCTCGGGGCAAAGGCACGTACCTGGGTTGCAGGCTCGATACCACCCCGTCAGGGTGTGTGCGGGAGGCAACCAATCGATGTGCCTCTCTCACATCCATCTTTCTCTCTGTCGCTGCCCCTCCCTGCCACTGTCTCTAAAAATCAATGGGAAAATATCCTCAGGTGAGCATTAACTACAACAAAAAAGAGAATAGTGAAACAAAAAGCAAAGAGAAGAGGAGAAATCTCTACAGCTGCTGCCGAGGAGGAAAGCCGTCGGACTAGCACAGGTCTGCTGTTGGGCTTATGGTTCGGGTCTCCTTACAGCACAAGGAACTTTCAAAGGTGCTGAGCATTGCCTCTTCCCCTTATGCTTTCCCTCAGCACTTGCTTTGGGTGAGGGATCTGCTGATGAGCCATGTCCTCCACTCCGGGGCCATTTGCCTTCTGTTTATCTGAACTCGTGCAATGAGGAGCTGTGGCTTCCCCACAAGAAGAATTCCAAGCATAAGACAGCAGCTGGACAGGGATTTTTTTTTTTTTTTTTTTTTTTTAATGGAAGGACCTTTCCATGAAAGGGCTTGGCCTTGAAAATCTTTATCTGCAGATAACCAACTTGGCTGGGGAGATTGTTTTTGAGTCGCATTAACAGCTGCACACTTACCACGTTCTCTGGGCAAATCCCACCCCCTCCCCGCATTGAGCAGTCCAGCTTGAAAGGTGCTGCCATTCTTGGGGAAAGGGGAGCTCCAGCCTGCCCCTCAGACCACAGGACTTTGTGTTCTGACCATGTGAGCCGCCCATTCATTCCTGCTCTCCCTCTCTGCAGTGCTGATGGTCCTCACGGGTAAACCCCCTCCTCTCCAAGCCCCTACTCCCCTGCAATGGAGCTAACAAACCCCTCCACACCTTAGCTCTGGCCCACTGTCACTGAGCCTGGCTCCCTTGCTCCTCAAGGTCTCAGCTCCCCCAGCTCTCTCCAGGTCAGGCTGTTCATTTTCTCACACTCCACAAGCTCAGGGTCAGGAGGGAGGGGTCACCAGCCTCCCTGCCCCCCAAGACCACATCCACCCACTTCCCTCTTATTCTTTGAGGTGTGAGCCATACCTCAGCCCATGCCCACCTTCCGCCTGATAACTCCCCTTATATACCCAAGAGCTTGGCAATGGGCTCACAGTCTTCCCTCCACCTAACTGCTACCACCACCCTCAGTCGCCTTTGCAGTCGATCTGTCCCTTGATCTCATCTCCAAAGTCCTTTCCCTCCACTCTGTTTAGCTCGAACCTTCCCATGGACAGAACCTCTTCCTGAGCCCAGGAACTGGGACATTGCACCTCCTCATAATCTCTCGACCTCCTGGCCCATTCATCCAGTTATCCCATCACACTTCCACTGCTTCCTCAGCCTCAAATCCATTCACACTTTTTTTTCTCCCAGTCTTTAATTTCTTTATTGATTAAGGCATTGCATATGTGTCGTCATACCCCTATTAACTCCCCTACCCACCCACCCTCCGACTCATGCCCTCACCCCCCTGTTGACTGTGTCCTTTGGTTGGGCTTTTAATCCATTCACTCTTCTTCCACTTTCTCTCTACCAGCCCTTTTGGCCTCATGTCGCTCCCTCCCTATCCAGCTTGAACTGCACCTTGTGGGAGCACAGGTCCTAGGACGCTGGGTATTAGACGGAGACAGAAGTTGTAGGCATGTTAGGAGAGACTTTGTTGGAGATTGAGTCGCCATTACTACTACAGGAACCACCAGACAAAGTTGTTCCTGAAAGCAGTCCCACAAACAGCCGCACTAGGCTGCCTCACCCCGGCTCAAACAGAAGTTCTGAGATCAGAGGGCCTGAAAGAGAACTTAGAGGAGCACCTAAGTTAGAGGCCTCATTCCTGACGCTCATGCCACATTAACACAAACAGGGTACACCCTCACCTGCCCGCAGGCCTATGGCAAATGGGCCTTGAGCATCCAGCGTACTCTGATGAGGGTTCCTACAATGCTCCATCCCTTCAGCCCCTCTTTTACCTCCTCACAATCACTATTTCTTTCTGAACCCCAACCTGCATGAGGCTAACAGCCTTTTTCTGAGCAGACCTCACAGTGGAGTAAAGCACACAGCTCAGGAGATGGAGGCCTCCAGGTCAGTGGCCACCCACCTCAGCACCTCAGCCAGGCCCTCTGCACTGCCCACCTTTCCTCTGTCCTCGGCCTTACGGGGCCCGCCCTGGGAGCACAGCGCTCCGCTAACCTAACCCAGCCCTTCCCTTCCCTCCCATTCCTCAGGGGCTAGGGCCACATTTCCTGCTCTCTTCCTCCTGTGTGACAACATCCCCCCACTCTCCACCCTCCACCCCACAAACTTCCAACAGCTAAACGAGAGGTGCTCTAGTCTCCCTCATCTGAAAATAAATAAGCACTCTTTCTTGAGTGCACGTCCCTCCAGCTACCGCCCCATCTCCCTTCCCTTCATAACCAGGTGTCTACACTCCCTGCCTCCATTTCCCTACTTCCCACTCCTGGCCCTGCTGTCCTCTAGCCCCTGCCTCCACCCTGCCACAACTGCTCTCAGAGCCACCAGGGGGGACCATTCAGAGTTGCTCTGACAGCTGCCCCACCTCTGCCCCCCTTTCTGTAACATCCCACTCCTGTGGGCCACCTGTAGCTCAGCTCCCTCTCCCCACAAAGCCTGAGTTTGGTGCTCCTCTCAGTTCTCTTACAGGCCCTCTGATCTCAGAACGTCACCTCCCAGCAAACGACAACCTCATAAATTGAGAGATTAAATAGAGAAGGTAGCCGGAGATCGGGATGGCAGGACACACAGGCTTTATTGGAGGGAAGCGTACCCCTGCCCGCTGCTTCCACAGAGAGAGGGCGGAAGAGAGCGTCCGTCCCCCGGGGTACAAGCACTTTTAAGGATAGGGGACGGACGGGCTTAGGGCACTCAGCACATGCTGATTGGTGATTAGGGACCTGGGGACTTAGGGATGGGGGGGGCCCTTAGAGTATTTAGCAGGTACTGATTGGTGGTTCAGAGCTCAGGAATGTCTGGCTGCAGGTGAGGTTTACTTCTGTCCATCAACTGGAGGAAGGAGGATCTATCATAAATCTACATCTCCATGCCAAAACCCTTTTGGCTCAGGGGATGGAGCTTTGGCCTGCAGACTGAAGGGTCCCAGGTTCGATTCCGGTCAAGGGCATGTACCTTGGTTGGGGCGCATCCCCAGTAGGGGGTGTGCAGGAGACAGCTGATCGATGTTTCTAACTCTCTATCCCTCTCTCTTCCTCTCTGTGAAAAATCAATAAAATATATATATTTTTTTAAAAATCTACATCTCCAGACAGGCTCATCAGGATGCACTCAGGTATGGCAGAGACCGCTTCATGCCAACATGGCCAGCACCAAATTACCTCCTCTTCAACCCACTCCTCCTTTGTGTCCCTCCTCTCCACGAATGGCAACGCCACCCATCCCGCCCAGAGCCGACCTGGGCCCTGCACATAAACATCAGTATTTGCTGAATGAACCAATGAATCCTTGAACCTCCCTCATTGCTCACAGCCAATCACCAAGGCCTGTCAACTTCACCTCTTTCTACAACCTCTGCTTATAGTTAGTGAAGACTGGCTGCCTCCTGTGCATGCTTCGGAAGGCTTCCAGAACCCCTCCACTTCGGCAGGACAGGGATCTTGCCCGGAGCTCACACGGCGCGGCCCCCACGCCAGCTCCTTACGGCCCTAGCCTGGGACAGTCCCCCTCCCTGGGGGCTCCACCTCCATAAACGCCCACGGCCCAGCTCCCCGGAGGCGCTCTGTAAGCGCTAGACGGGGGGGATGAATGAATGGACTAACGGGCGAGAGGGGGCCACAGTGGGCAGCCGCCGCCGAGCCCAGCTTGCCACGCGGCGGTCGGCGAGAGGCCTGGCCGGCACTCCCCACGCGGCACGCCCCTCTGCCCATCTCCGCTAGGCCGCCCGGAGCCCCGCCCCTGCCTGGCTTCCCCACACGCTACATTCAGGCGAGCCAATAGGCGCGCGCGCTCCTCCTCAGCGGCCAATGGGAGCGTCCTGCGTAGCCCTCCAGAGGGGCGGGGCGAGCGGGCGCACGCGCGCGCGCGCGGGTCCCAGGAAGGCGCGGGCCCGCGCGCTCTTCCCACGTCGGCGGTCCCGGCGAGCGCAGCCTCCGCTCCTTCGCGGCCCAGCCAACGGATGATGGGGACCCTGTGTGCGCGGCGCGGCCTGGAGTGGCTGCTGGGGCTCTACTTCCTCTCCCACATCCCCATCACGCTGCTCTTCGACCTGCAGGCGGTGTTGCCGCGCGAACTCTACCCCGTGGAGGTGAGGGCGCCGGGCGGTCCTGGCCGCGGGCCGCTGGCGTGGGGGCCCCCCGCGCGCTGCGGCGGCGCCCGCGTTCCCCGGCTCCGCTCCTCCGCCCGCGACCCCCGCTGCGGGGCTTCCGTTCTGTCCCCCTGGTCCTCCTGCGCGCTCCGGCCCGGACTTACTCTTCAGCCCGGCGTCTCCCGCGGTTTTCTTTGTCTGTCCCAGGCTCTTCCCACAAGTTGCTGCGGGGGCCAAACACTTCGTTCTTTGCAAAAACAGCTATTCCCCGGATTTGTGTAAAGGCTCAGCTGTCGGTATGTGAGGGTGTAAATCACGCCTTGGATTTGTTTTAAAGTTGTTTCTTGGAAGAGCTTTGAAATACCGTCTTATCCCAAAGAAATAATCTAAGTAGAATCAGATTCGTCAAAAGGGCATTTGCAGACAGTCATTCTAGATCAGAATCCAGCAACTTCAAAGGCTCAGAGAGAATGACTCCTTTTCAATTCGACCCTTTCAATTGGGTTCGCTGGAAACAGGCGAAGAGCCTCATTTTCCTGGTTGGTGGAGAGTTTTCTTTACCCCAAACTTTGCTTTAATGATTTATTATTTCTCCAGACCCCCCCCCCCCCCCCCCAGTTCTTTTCACGTCTGGACCTTGTGTAACAACTTTCTTTTATGAAATTCCTGTCCTCAGTCCTATGTTTCTGCAGTCTGTCTGTAGAACTAACTGGGCAAGACTTGACTTGTAAACCTATGGATTTGATTTTATCTCTTAAATGCTTTTTCTTAACCATGAACTCCTAGTGGTGTATGCAAAATGTGTGTGCCTTGTGTTTTCTGAGGAGAATCTATAGCTTCCATCAACTCTTCTGGGGAGGAAGGGGGTGTCTAACCTCCTCAAAAGGTCAAGAGCCAGTAAACAGTGTACCCCTACTTCATAAAATTCTTTTACTTCTAGATCCAAGCATAACTGGGAAGCCCTCTGACCAATGTTTTCTTGGAAAAGCTTAGGTAGTGTGTGACCATGGACCACAGACTGGGGACTGGGTTATTCCAAGAAATGCTGGCGTGTCTTGGGGAAATCAAGGCTCTGTAGCCTCAGTTGTCAAGAGAGTTGGGTTAAATTGCAGCTTAAATACACACAGGGTGTATATTAGCTTCACGTGTTGCTGCCATAACAAATGAACAAAACCAGTGCCTTAAAACAACACAAGTTTATCCTCTTGTAATCTGGAGTCAGAATTAAAGTGAATCTTGCAGAGCTGTTCCTTCGGAAGGTCCTAGGAATCTGGTTGCCAGTGTTCCTTGGCTTGTGGCCACACACTTCAGTCTCGGCTCTGTCATCACTGCCACCGCTTCTAGTCCAGTGTCCCTCTGCCCTACATGTGGATTACATGAGTCCTCTTAATATGGGGCAAATATGTTACTCCAGGTTATTCCAGACTGAACAGCTGTTGGTTTCTTTATTCTTTCTGGATGTGCCTGCCATTCCACAAGTCCGTGCTTACCACTCACAAGATACAATTAAAATATGTCTAGTATAGCACCACTTAAATTTATATATTTAATTTGGTAAAGTTCTCTCAGCTTTATTTAATGTTGACTTAATATAAAAGGTCAAGAGGCAATGTAGGCAGGACCTGGCCAGAAACTGTGTGTGTGTGTGTGTGTGTGTGTGTCTGTGTGATGATGTTTTGAAGGAATTAGAAACAGGCATCCTGGCTTGGAAGGCCTGTACCTCTAGTCATTTTTGTTGCTCTGGGTGGATAATGATAGTTTTTTGTTGCTTCTCTTTGTGGAAAATAATAATAGAAGCCTTGAGTTATTCTCAAATTCTCTTTGAAAATATGCCAAAATTTAACATTTGTTGCTTTTCCTCCCTAAGTAGAAGAAATTTTCCCCTAGAACTAAAAAGCCTACATAATGTTTGGGCTAAAAAATCTTTCTTGGTTTGAACCAGCCCAACCCTTAGAAAAACTTATGAAACAGTAAGAATTTACTTTGGATTAGAACAGCCATTTTCACCGGTGTGCCACAAGAATTTTAAAAATATGCAATACTTGACTATTTAGTTAGGGACATGGGCCTCTTTTCCCCCAAGATTGTCAGACTAAAGAAATGGCAACAGCCAACACAACAATAGCTTTCCAGTGTGAGTGAATCAAAATTAGACTTTTTTTTTTTTTTTTTTTTGTCAGATTGGCAAAAGAATTTTTTTAGTGTGCTTGGAATTTCAGTAGTTAGTTTATGTGCGCTATGAGATTAAAAAAAAAAAAAAAAAGTTGAAAATCACTAAATTAGAACATGGAGAGGATGGAAAGTATTTTATAGTATCACTAGAGGCCCGGTGCACAAATTCGTGCACCAGTGGGGTCCCTCAGCTTGGCCTGCAGAATCGGCCAAAACCAGCTCTCTGACATCCCTCGAGGGGTCCCAGATTGTGAGAGGGCACAGGCCAGGCTGAGGGACCCCCCCCCCAGTGCATGATTAGGGCTGGGAAGAGACTCAGAAGGTTGGCCAGGCTATGAGGGATCACAGGTAGAGGGCTCCAGGGCATGTCCAGCCCATCTCGTTCAGTCCCGATCAGCCAGACCCCAGCAGCAAGCTAACCTACTGGTCGGAGCATCTGCCCCCTGGTGGTCAATGCACATCATAGTGAGTGGTTGAGCAGCCTTAGCATATCATTAGCATATTATGTTTTGATTGGTTGAATGGCTGACTGGTTAACCAGACAGTTAGCATATTGGGCTTTTATTATATAGGATTTGCAACTGGGTAGCATTGCTTCTGTTAAAATAAGGAAAAACAAGTGAGCATCTAGGTTTGCAATCAGTCTATGATCTCATTCTAAGTTAGAAAAGTACAAAATTGTTCAGCAGTTGCTGGCTGAGAATCCCAGGTGCCTAGGCCAGGTAAAAGTTGTTTGTTTGTTTTCTTAATATATTTTAATGTTGTTTTTTTTTACAGAGAGGAAGGGAGAGGGATAGAGGGTTAGAAACATCAATGAGAGAGAAACATTGATTCAGTCGCCTTCTGCACACCCTCTTCTGGGGATGTGCCCACAACCAAAGTACATGCCCTTGACCAGAATTGAACCTGGGACCTTTCAGTCCGCAGGCCGACGCTCTATTCAATGAACCAAACCAGTTAGGATCAAGTAAATGTTTTTAAATGGATAACAATGTTAAGTTGAGTGAAATGTGACTGAGATATATAAATGGAGACAGTTTTATTATTACCTTTTAAGGGGGTCTTATCCGATATAATAAAAGGCTAATATGCTAATATGCAAAGCAACCAAACAGCGGAACAAGCAGTTGCTATGATGCATACTGACCACCAGGGGGCAGACACTTAATGCAGGAGCTGCCCCCTGATGGTCAGTGCGCTCTCACAGGGGGAGTGCTGCTCTGCCAGAAGGGCTCACAGTTGGCGAGTGCAAGAGCAGGATGTCCTAAGCCAGGGGTCTTCAAACTTCTCTCATTATGAGAATCACCTGGTGGAGGTGTTAAAACACAGATTCCTGATAGCACTTCTTATAGTTGGGATCCGGGAATCTGTGTTTTAACACCTCCACCAGGTGATTCTCATAATGAGAGAAGTTTGAAGACCCCTGTAAGCTGTCAATCAGACATCCCCTGAGGGCTCCCGGACTGCGAGAGGGTGCAGACTGGGCTGAGGGACTCTGCAGAAGCCAATTCCAGCATGTCATAATTGCAAGAGTTTCATCAAAAGGTTGATGGGCAACAAAATAAAAGGTTGATGGAACTTGGGGACTCAACAAGAGCTGAGTCACATAGGTTATCACCTGCTGGAATGGCTTAAGGCATTTTCCCAAACCTGAAAAGGATGATTGCTTGCTGCCAGACAGCTCAGGGCATCTTAATCTACATGGTATAGCCTACTCCTGGCCAAAAACCTGAACAGCAGGAGGTAATTCCCTAGCCCGACAATGGATTCTGTACCTAAACCTACCCTTTGGAGTGTATATCTCCACCTTGCCTTAGGACAAATTGTGTTAATAAAAAGCAAGGAGATAAGGAGAACTTGGTTTCTTCAGCCAAGCTCCTCTGGTGCATGGGGCTGTGCTCCAGCAGCTGAGCCACACAGCCCGGTTAATGTGCTAACAGAATGTTTGTCTTTGGATATTTGCTTAAAGCTCACTCACAGCAGTGAGACCTCAATATTGAGCATTTATCTTCTGATTAAAAATTAACAGGAATATCTTTAGATTTTTCCATTGTAAGCTAACTTCTTAGTTGGGAAGTTGCCTTTATTTATTGTCCATATACATACATATTTGGCTTTGATGGCAGGTGTATTGAAACCATGCCATTTCCAGGAGGTTAAATGCAACAGACTTATGTGGAGAGCCTGAGGCGGGGGGGGGGGGGGGGGGGGACGGGGACGGGGACGACACGACTCTTTAAAAAGCACAGAATGGGCAGCCTCGGGCCCTCTTCTTCTCTGCCTGTAGCCAAGTCAGCATGGATCTGTATCATTTTACTTAACAGCATAATTATGAGGGTGGGGCCCAAGCTAGAACTAAGACTGCTACTCAAGCTTTTACATCGCCTGGAAGCTATAGTTTGTGGTTTGGAACAGAGTTTGTTCTACAAATATCCTACTGGTCTCCTAAAAGAAAAAAAAACTTGAGTACTAGGGAGTCAATGACAATTTGGCTGGAGCTACGTGGCTCAGTGGTTGAGCATCAACCTACGAACCAAGAGGTCTGGGTTCAATCCAGTCAGGGCACTGCCCTGGTTGTGGGCCCGATCCCCAGTGGGGGGCATGCCGGAGGCAGCAGGTCAGGAATTTTCAGCATTGATGTTTCTATCTCACCCTCTCCCCTTCCTCTCTAAAGTCAATAAAAACGTATTTTGGGGGGAAGGGGAAGAATGACCATTTAAATTGTCTAAAGGTGCATCCTCACAGAGGTTCACTTTACTGCCTGTCCATCACTGCCCCTTCCCCCGAGTCAAATTCACTTCATTTCTGTATTTGAGGCTCTCTGGCCCTGAGATTGGCATGCAGTTGCTATTGTGAAAGAGCAAATGTCAGGATGATACTGTTTGTGTGTTCATTCAGCAAACTAAGTGCAGACAGTGCTTTTGACAAAGGGCAGCGCCCCTAGATAAGCGTTGCCATGGGAGTCACAGACCAATGCTGGTGGCACAAAGGGGCTGCGAGAGCTGGGGAAAACTCGGAGAAGCTAACATGCTGCGTCTGCCCTGCCAGGTGGCTGTACTCATTGTGATCTCGATCTTTTCCAGCTGAGAAACCTGCTCAAGTGGTACGCCAAGGAATTCAAAGACCCTCTGCTGCAGGACCCCCCCGCGTGGTTTAAATCCTTCCTGTTTTGCGAGCTCGTGCTCCAGCTGCCTTTCTTTCCCATTGCAACATACGCCTTCTTCAAAGGTAGGTAAACGGTGGGGAAATCCCATCCTTGCTCAAATCAGGTCCCAGAAATCTCTGGGAAAGTATCTTCCAAGGCCCCTGTGGTTTGCGTGAGGGGGTGGAGGGTCTGCTGGGAACGACAGGACAGCTCCTAGAGCCGGTATTACTGTGGCTCAGGCTAACGCCTGTGGTCAGCTGGGCCGCAGAACTGCCTCAGCCAACTGGGAAACTTGAGGCTACTTAAACATAGGACTTGTTGCTTTTTCTTTCCTTTATCATTGGTTTTCATTTTTCTGTTTTAGGTAGTATCATGCTGGCTTATAAGTAGTAGCATCAAGCTTATTCCTAAGGGTTTAACTTCTTTTTGAAAAATGATTCTTACAGTGTCCCCATGTCTGATGCTGTTATAAAGAAAGCAGTCATATCGGAATACGCGGTAACTAAGCTTGCAGAGCTTACTTCCCACTGCAGCTCCCAAATCCATCTCTTGGCAGAATCTACTCATCTTCTCACCTACATACACTCTAATTACTTAACAAACATGCTGCTGTCAGCCCCCCCTCCCCCTTTCAGACCAAACAGGTTTAACTTTTACTGCCTAGAGTTTTTCTGAATTAAAGTCCAACTCCCACCCTGGCACATTTAGGCAGCATTGTGACACATCTGGTTTCCCGTTGTTTCCATGGTAAAGGAGGGGTATGGTCCAGCTGAGAGGGGCAGAGACGTCATGGGGCTTGGCACGGGCACCCCTGGATCGTGAGCAGACCTAACGCTTCTCTCTCTCCCCTTCTGACACTTCAGGAGGCTGCAAGTGGATCCGCACGGCGGCCATCGTCTACTCAGCCCACACCATGACAACCCTGATCCCCATTCTCTCCACGTTCCTATTTGAGGATTTCTCTAAAGCCAGTGGTTTCAAAGGACAAGGACCTCAGACCTTACGTGAACGCTTAACCCTCATATCTGTCTATGCCCCTTACTTTCTCATCCCTCTTATGCTTCTGCTTTTCATGTTGCGGAGCCCCTACTATAAATATGAGGAGAAAAGAAAGAAAAAATGAGAGAACTACACAAGGCAAACTGCTCAGAACCCATGTCTTCAGTCGCATTTGAAACACCAGCAGCCATGACTTGTCTGTCACCTTCCAAGGGCACTGGCACAGACCCATCACCTGAGGCAGGCCAAGTTCACCATGTGCCCAGTTCCACTGCAGAATTACTAAAAACAGGACCAGACCAGAAATGAATGAACTTCCAAGAAACACATCCTGCTTAGCATTTTCATGAGTTATTTGATCCACAATATACATGTGACTGACTCATGATTCTCTACAGCAAATCACTATTCAGCAAAATGAGTAGTATGCTGTTCAGGCCATTGTTAAGTTTGAAATTATGCCTCTTCAATATTCATTAAAAACTATAGTTTTCTTGCCTGCACCCCTGGTGGGGAGGAGAGAAAATAGTCTGCAGGAGGTTTAAGGTTCAGCCCTGGCTTTCAGTCAGATATGGGTTAAACCAGAAGGTGCTTTGTTTCTGTTTTAAACAGCTCGTCCCAGAGGAGAGATTTTTTTTTAAATTCTTCTTTCCAAACCTTAGTCCTGTCTTTTTACAGACCACCAGACAGAAATCACTCTACCCTAGATCTGGTGTCTCAAACCTGATCTGGCAGTGTGCTACATTCTCCTAGTAGTTTAATCCTCCTTCCTGTGTCGGTCTGAGTCAGAATGGGGGAACCGCTGGGCCAGACATGCCCACTGTGCGAGTGGGGTCTCTTCACGTTAGTGCCTGGTGTTTCCCAGTTCATACTCAAAGCTAACTTTAAAAAGACGACTTATGAACACACATGGACAACTGAAGAAACTGCTTCCAGTCAATTCCCTTTGCCTGTTCTGCTCATAAGCCAAATTACTCTCCTGGGAGTATCTCTGACTCATGTGTCCAGTCCAAATAAAGGTAGCTGCTGACCACTGCCTGGTTTGTTTTGTGCCAAGGGGCTGGAGAGTCCAGGGTTCTCTTATAAGTGACTCAGTGTACACTTCAAGGGCTCCAGGAAAGAGGTAGATAAGCCATTTGAAAACAATAATTTATTGCTTTTTCCTCCAAAGCTTTGTGAGTTTACAAAAAGAAAATAAAAAATCGAAGTTTACAGATTGCTTATTTCAGAATAACAATGCAAGAGGTGAGGACCTGGACCGCCGTGGTCACGGTGTGTACAGATATGCACCAGCATCTGAAACAAGGCCCCTTCCCGCCCCCCAGATTGGTCTTATTGCCTTCAGAGATGGTGCGTCCTCCACATACCATCTCACATGATAGACTTGGGTCATTAGTCAAAGTCACTGGAATGGTACAGAGGTTTTTGTTTTTCTGCCCTCCTGCTATATAATGAAATTTTCAGTTCATTTCTGAAAAATAAATTGGTCAATAAATTCATTTTGTTCTGCTTCTACTTTACACAAAGCTTCATATTCAACCCGATACCTGAAAAACAAAATTGTTAGAAGCCCTAAAAACGGATGAAATAAACCATGGACTTAATTCTTCTAGAGAAGAATACAGGTGACTGAAATGATTCCAAGAAATGGTGTTAGAGTGAAGTTAAAAGACTAGTGTGCAAAGCCCTGCACAGGCCCCGTGGGAAATCCTCCGCCCCTAAGTGTCTCCTGCCAGCCACCTTTGCACACTAGCCACCTGAGCCTTCATGCTCTCGAGCCACTACAGGTGATTTGATAACAAATTTTCCATCAAATGTAAAACCTTCAAATTAGGATAAGTGAGAAACTATTCCTAGGAGAAAAATGAATAAGGATAAGAGGTGACTTTTAAGAAGGAAAAACAGAAATGCAGTCGAGTAAAGACTTTGCTTTACATAATGTCTTACCTTTCGAGCTGCATTTTCTTTTCTGCTATTAGTGCTTGGAGTTGCTGCTGTTGGGCTTCTCTCTGCTTTGCTATAGATTTGAGCAAATTGCGAGCACCAATGGCCTAGAAGAACAGTATTGCCAAAGGTCAGGCTTCATTAAAACCATCTTCAGCGTTAAGTAGCCTCCACCACTTGGGGGCTGCCTCACTGCCCAGAAGAGAAAAGAAGGCTGAACCCAGAGCTTTGGGAGAGAGGATTAGCCTCAGGATTCCAAATGAGAACTGGCCTAGAGCAGTGGTCAGCAAACAGCTCTCGAGCCACATACGGCTTTTTGGCCCCTTGAGATTTTAGCGAAGGCCAGCTTAGGAGTGCCCTAAAAGTTAATAACAGTGTACCTACCTATATAGTTTAAGTTTAAAAAATTTGGCTCTCAAAAGAAATTTCAATCGTCATACTGTTGGTATTTGGCTCTGTTGACTAGTGAGTTTGCCGACCACTGACCTAGAGCTCAGGCAGATGTAGGAGTACTATCCCCAGGGTCTGGAGCGCTTAGTGCTCTTTGCCAAGTCACCTATACTCTGCACACCTTCATTTACAGAATGATAAAGCCATCTATTTCAGTGATGTGAAGCTTAAAGGAAAAAATGACAGTGTACCGGCATATCAAAATCAAAGTAGGTTAATTGGACCAGGAATTGTTTTTTAAAAACAGGTATAATTGACATGTATTATTTAATGTGTACAACATGAGTTGATACTTGTATAGGAAATGTTTAAAATCTTGTATTAAAAGAATCTCCTTTTCACCCCAACACATACACACACACACACACACACACACACACACACACACTCACACACACAGTCAAGGGCAGAAGATGACAGGCTAATGAACGAGGGTCCCAGGCCAAGATGGAGATGAAATGCATGCTGCTCTTACCTTCATCTTCTCATTTTCTGCTTCTTTTGCAAGTTGGTCAACAAGCTCAAGTAAACCACCAACTATTTTCTGAAACTGGCCAATTTCTTTTGGGGAAAGAAGGAAATGTTTTTATTTCCTCAGCGTCATCACTCTTCCTCAGTATTCCCTTTCGGCGACAGGGAAGGACTAACTGCCCCTTCTAACTTGTGTCCAAACAGTTAGGTGCCTGCTGGTCTAAAGTCTGCCACCCTTGGTTTGAACCTAGAGATGATTGGCAGGTGTCCAGAGCTATAGGGAATATCTAGACCGTGAGTCCCCACGGCCAGCTAGCTGCTGCTACCTCAAGCTATGAAGGCCCTGGTGGACCTATTCTACGGGGGACCCCAAAGAGGTGCAAAGGGCCACATTCATGGAAGGACTGCCTCAGGACAGGAAGCCGCCTCTTGTAGCCACTGGACTTCAATTGATGGTGGGGCTATTCACCGTGGCCTCAGCTAATAAAGAGCTCAAAGCATTTAAGTGCCTAATCTCCCAGTCCCTTTTCTTCAAAATCCTTAGGTGTGGTGGAGCCCCCACTACTGAGGAGTAAGCTAAGGCCCAGGAAGATGGGACAACATTCACAGCAATCGGAAGGCTGGCAATAGAACTCATGCTGCCTTTCACCAGGTGAGCGCTCCACAGCCTGCAGTGCCCAGAGGCTGAGAAATCCCTGCTCCAGCTAGGCCTGCTCTTTGTCCGCGCCACTGGGCTTGCCTGGCTGCTAGCACAGGAGCTGTCCTGCGTATCTCCTGTCCAAAGATGTGTTCATGGGGTCTGTTGAGCTGCTAGCGATTCCAATTAATCAACTCTTACTCCCAATACAGACAAGCCCATTACTGAGAATACTATTTCTCCCAAGAAATCAAGTCATCACTACATAACTCTATTTCCCACTCCCAAGCCATAGTTCTGCCCCCACGAAGTTTAAGGTTTCTGGGAGAAAAAAAAAAAAAAAAGAAAGAAAAAAAAATCAAAGATGGCATATCTCAAAACACACACCTGCCTCTCAGCATTGCAGTGTCCGCTTTGACTGGTTTCCCTGTGGGACTACATGAGAGCATAAGAGGGCAGGCAGACAAGGTGGGTGGCACATGAGAATTCATAAAGGTGAGGGAGCCAGCAGCTCCATTCTGGCTGGGCCAAGAGCAACAGCTGAGGGGGGCAGGGGGGCACAGTTGGAATAATTCAAAGCTGAGTGGCAACATGTCTCCCCAAATGACACTCACTGTCCACAAAGTCCTTGCACTCTTCCTTGAGCTCTGTGGTCTGCTGGGTAACCTCTGGGTCCAACACCCGCAGCTTGTTCAGTTCATCAAAGTGCAACCCAGCTTCACCCAGGATGTCCTTGGCCATAGCTGTGAAGAAACCAACCCCAACCCACGATCACTTCCCAGCCCTCCAAGGAAAGCCTGCTTCCAGCCCCACTCCTGCCCCCAGATACCGAGGCCCAAAACCCAGACGTCCCTCGGCCTCCTCCTCTCTAAGCCTCACCTGTTTCCCTTCCAGGCTCTCTAGAGGAGGTCTGCTCTGAAGGAGTGATAGTAGCAGCCAGGAGGAGATGTGTCACAGATCAAGGGTCAGGAAAGAATAAAGTCCAGGTGCTCGTCACAGGCATCGTTCATTCAACACACATTTCTTGAGTGCCTACTACATGCCAGCATAGCTAGATGCTGGGGGTACAAAGATGAGTGCAACATGGTACCCGCCCTGGAGGAGCACAGTTTAGCTGGAGGAAGACAGACATGTAAACTGAAAAATTATACTGTGTTAAGTGCTTTTACAGAAATATCCCTAAAGCAATAGAGAACAGTTAACGTGGCGTGAGGAAGTTCACATCTGAATTAAGTTGTTAGCCATAAGCATATTTATTTATTCCTGATTATATACCCAAAGGACATGAAAAAGCTTTCCAAATACAGTACTGTAACAACACAAAAAGCAAGTGAAAGAGAAAATCTGGGTGAATGAAAAATTAGGGTTAAAAAAATAAGCCAGGAGTAAGCATATTACCCAAAATGTACGCAGGGGATGCTGTACGCTTGCCTGAACTGGGACCCAAAGTTGGGTCAGTCTCTTCCAAGCAGAAAACACAGATAAGGAAGTCAGGGAAGGCATTCCAAGCAGAGAACAGCATGAACAGCAGCCGAAGTCACTCGAAGGGCCTATCCAGCCTACAAGATGACAGGATGGAGGATGGAGCTGGAAAGGTCAGGAGCCATGCTAAAGAGGTTGGGGGTTTTCTGTCGGCAATAGGACCGGCACAGGTATCTTCTCCCTTCCTAGGCCACCTTGCATTCCTGGTCTAAAAGATGCATCGATTCTTGGAAAGAAACAATGAAAACTCACCCTCACTCTGACTTTAAAATAACACACCCACACAAAAAAACCAACAAGGAATACAGCCCTAGCCAGTTTGGCTCAGTGGATAGCATCTGCCTGCAGACTGAAGGGTCCCAGGTCAAGGGCATGTAGCTTGGTTGCGGGCACATCCCCTGCAGCGGGTGTGCAAGAGGCAGCTGATCAATGTTTCCCTCTCATCAATGTTTCTAACTATCCCTCTCCCTTCCTCTCTGTAAAAAAATCAAAATATATATTAAAAAAAAAGAAAAGAAAAGAAAAAGAAATACATGCCCTGTCTAGAAAGGAAGGCAATGCTATTCAGGACTAGCCATTGGCCACTACACCAATTCCAAAACCCCAGGTGTTCCAAAGGCTACCACCACCCGACTCTGCACCAGCCCTTCCCTCTGCTCCCACCTCCTCCAACCCAGCAAGGATAGAGTTCTGTTTGAATGGGGTGATTCTTCCGGGACTGACTGCCCAGAGCATGTGTACCATTAGAAGATCAATGATATAAAAAGCTGGTGTGGCCAAGTTGGCCGGGCATCGTCCACGTACTTAGGGTGGCCAGTTGGATTCGTCAGGGCACATGCCCGGAATGCATGCTCAATCCCGAGTAGAGGGTGTGTAGGAGGCAGTTGATCAATGTTTCGTCTCACACCAAGTTTTCTCACTCTCCCAACTCCTTTCCTCTCTAAAAAAAAAATCAATAAAATCTTAAAAAGGGGGGGAGGGGATTAAGTCCTACCATTGCCAGAACTGATTTTCAAGAGGACCAGAAATCCAGATTTATATATGGAATCTGATTTTTAAAGGAAAGTAGTTCAAAAATTCAAAGGAATAAAACACATCCCAAACCGTGTGGACCAACTAATACATGTCTATAGGTTATCTGTGTCTGACTGGGGCCCAGGGCCTTTGACCTCCCTGGAAACCACTCAAGTAAACAGGCTAGTATCTTCCTTTGAAACATTTTAATCATCCAGAGCTTCCTTATGATCAGTTTGTTTGTTTTAATTTTTTATTGATTTCAGATATGAAGGGTCAGTGAGAGACAGAAACATCAAGGATGAGAGAGAATCATTGATTGGCTGCCTCCAGCATGCCCTCCACTGGGGGGATCGAGCCCGGAACCCCAGCATGTGTCCTGACACGAATCAAACCGTGACCTCCTGGTTCATGGGTCAACATTCAACCACTGAGCCACATCAAATGGGCTGATCAGGCTTTTAAAAAATATTTGTTCATTTTTTTAATATCCTACTTGTGTTACATTTACACATATAGTCTAAGTACTTAGCACCTACTGGGTGATTAAGCTACTCTAGAAAACTTCAAGTAACCTGAGGGAGCAAACATCTGCTTCAACTGTTACCCCTTTCCTGAGAGCATGAATTTATTCAGAGACATCTACTGAGCCCCCTGCTCTGGAGCTGGAATAGTGGAGAAAATGCTTTAATGGTATAGTTCCTGACCTCTGGACAAAGAGAAAACAGACCATCACAAATGACGGTAATAATATGAGGAAAGGCACCGGGTGCTAGGGGAAGTGGCAGCAGCAGGACATACTTCTTATGGGGGTGGCGGTGTGAACAAAAGCCTTCAGCAAGAGGGACACTAAAGATGAGACCTAAAAGAAGCCCCAAAGCTTGTCAAAGTGAAGGGGGGAGGCGACATTCCAGGCAGAAGGGAACGCATGTGTGAAGATCCTGAAGCTGTGACAAATTAAACACATCCCAAGAACTGAAAGGCTAGTGCTCAAACGGAGTGAGCAAGAGGAAGCGTGGAACAGGATGTCACAAGATAAGTAGTTAGAGCTGGATCGTGAAGGGCTCAGAGTGCTGCAGTAATGACCTTGGGTTTTATCAGAGGCTTAATGAGCAGCCAGTGGATTCTCAGCAGAGTGACACAATCAGATTTGACGTTTAGAGAGACCACTGTGACCTCGGATGCAGACTGGATCGGAGGACACGAGGGTGGGGCTACACCGCCCTAGTTCATCGCGGTAACCCCAGCATCTTAGCATGGGGCCTGCACATAATTGGCACTCAGTAATTGTGGAATGAAAGACTGTGAGGACAGAGAAGGTTAGTACAGTAACCAAGGCTTGGAGCGTTAGAAGTGTTCCAATTTGAGTTATTAGGACTTAGTAAGGACTGACTGAATGGAGTAGGGGCGTGGGGGATGAGTGAAAGAAAAGAGTCAGACAAGATTCCCATGTTTCTGGCTTGAGACAACTGTCTGGCTGAATGAGATGGCGGAGGCCAGAGGAGTGAAGGGAGAGGGTTCACAGCTGACTATCATCTCTCCCCACTCCCACCGCTCGCGCGTCTGCGCCTCGGAAACACCGGGCCCAAGAGCCAGACTGCGCTCCCCGGGGATGAGGCGGTGACACGCTGTCCGCCCCGGGCTCTCCCGGATCCGCGCCAGGCTCTGCGAGGACGCTCCGCTCATGGGGCACAGGGAAAGGGCACTGGGCAGAAAGTCAGAAAGACCCGGGTGATGGGACCGGCTGTCTTCGCTACGTAAACTCCTTGAACTTAACTGAGCCACAGTTTTCTCACAAGTTTGTTGTGAGCATCAGCGCGTCCAGCTGCAGGCCCCCCCGCGGTGGGTAATCCCGCCCCCAGAGTTGGGCAGAATCCCCACGTTTCTTCCCGCCTGGGACGGTCTTTCCTCGAGGCGCGGGCCTGCCGGGTTTACCTCGCCCCGAGCCCGCCCACATCTCCCGACCGGAGTCACGGCCTACCTTCCGACCCCGCGGCGGCGGCGGCGGCCCGGGCTGAGGTTGGCGGAGAGTTGCTCTCTCGACCCGCGGCAGCCGTACCTGGCCCGCCAGCCTCAGCCGCTGCCACGGCTACAGGACCTGTATACGCAAACGTCACTCCCTGACACCGGAAGCACTTATCCCGCCTGACCCGCAGAGCCTGCTGGGAAACAGAGGCCTGAGAAGAGCGGCCGCTGCCTACAAGATCCAGAGGCCTTTGCACCGGAAAGTCTTCCGGAAGTAGTTGTGGGCTCATTAAGGAATACGCCAAGGGCTCTTCCCTCTCCCCTGATTGGATGCTGGGCATGCCGGAACTTGTAGTCTCAGGCTCCTGGGCCCGCCCCGTTGGGCGGCAGCTCGGGGAGGAGTGTGCGGTCGGAGGATGTGATTTCACAGCCCGGGATTGCTGTTTGAAGGGCGGCCACATCCTAGGGGCCGCACAGTGTCGGCCTGCAACCCACCTGACCGGAGAGGCGCCGCTGGGGACGGTAAGAATCGGGTCTGCCGACACCCTGGGCGAGGGGAAGGGATGGACGGGCCTCGCGCTGGAGCAGAGAGCCCCCCTGGTCCTGGGAAAAAGGCATGGGACAGCGTAGGGGAGATGGAGAGCTCAAATCCCCCACTGCGGGTGGGGTGGGGTGTCTGTCTGTGTCTCTGTGTCCCGGTCTGGGAAAGACGCTACACTTGCCAGAGAGTGTGGGTCTTCTTTAATTTCTCCAGACCCTTTGGATGAAGCCTAAGTTTTTTATACTTAGGATTTCTGCTAGGCCCGCCCTCTTTAACCAAGATGGGCTCTCTCTCCACGTCCCATTTCCCCTGTAACTAATTTCTGAGTGTTCTTACTTTAGGACCCGTACCTCCTCCCACCGCCGAGGTTGTTTGCCCTTTATTCTGCTTGGGTTCCCCTTAGCTTCGCTGCTTGTGACACGGATACGCCCCTAGCTTCAGGCATCCCCAGATAGCCACACACACAAAGTCCGGAAGGAAGAGCACTGAGCTCCCAGTGGAAACTTCATTCTCACAGGAATTACTTTCTGGGCGTTACCTGACAGAATCCCGGGAACCTATTGGTATGGACAGAATCTGAGCTGACGTCACACAGGGGCTCATAGCAATGGCTTTGTAGGAAAGGAATAGATTAACTTTGGGTTTGTCTTTCTGTTGGCAACAACCTAGCCTTTGAGTTCCTTTGCTTTGGCAGAATAAGTGGTGTTTTCTTTGATCCTGGGAAATTGATGCTAGACACAAAACACACAAGAACTTGTTGAAACCTATGAAGGGGTTTTCTTTCTTTGGGGTGGGCTGAGGAAGGTAAGGTGATCTCACACTAATGTTGCTTATTGATTGGGCAGACTTTGGTGAGGGTTCTGTGTGTCCTTGAAGCAAATGAGACGCACCTGGACAAGCCATCAAAGGAATTCAGTACCTCACACAGCACCGGCTCAGCCTTCCTTGGCAATTCTTCCCAGGGACCTACCTAAATTATCAGGGACCCCTTAGTGTAACAAACCAACATATATTCAATGCTTTAAAATGTGAATGGCATTGTGCTAAGTTTGGAGAATGGAGCAGTAAACTTGGGAAAACCAGTGCACTGTTTCTGGGCTGCACTTACAAGAGATGATGTGTAGCTGAACTTCTGAGTGTTGTGATGATTAAATGAAGTAATTCCACTCTTTTTCTGTTTCCATTACCACCACTGTAGTCCAAGCCTTCACCATCTTCTCTTGCCCAGACTACTTCTGCTTCCGCTGGTCTTCCCACTTGATCTCTTGAACCCTTTCAATATATTCTCTACACAGCAGCCAGAACCTGGATCCTTTATAAAGGAAATGTATCGCCGAAACCGGTTTGGCTCAGTGGATAGAGCCTCGGCCTGCGGACTGAAAGGTGCCAGGTTCGATCCGGTCAAGGGCATGTACCTTGGTTGCGGGCACATCCCCAGTAGGGGGTGTGCAAGAGGCAGCTGGTCGATGATTCTCTCTCATCAATGTTTCTAACTCTATCCCTCTCTCTTCCTCTCTGTAAAAAATCAATAAAATATATTTTAAAAATAAAAATAAAAAATAAAGGAAATGTATCCTGTCCCTCAGACTTCTGGGAAACTCCTAGGCTGGCTGGATTCCCAGTAGGTTTGTCTGGAAGTCTTTACATTCCCAAACGTAAATAGATCACATCAGTCCCCTGCTTAAAACTCTCCGATCAATTCCCATTGCAATTCATATAAAATCGGAACTCTTTAATATGGTCTGGTCTCCCTTTCTTTCTTTGCACCAGCCACTGTGGCCTTAACTCTGTTCCTAAATCGTGAGTCTGACTGACATTTTGGCATTTACGTTTCCATTCGTCTATACCACATGTGTCAAACACAAGGCCCGCGGGCCAAATCCGTCCCGCCAGGCCTTGCAATGTGGCCCGCAGCGCGCTGTCATCACTGCACTCAGCTGCGTTTCCATCACAATGACAGTTTATGACTGTTCAGTAAACCATTCAGCCTGCGATTTAGGCTGGATTTTAGATTTTGGCCCCTTCTCTGATTGAGTTCGACACCCCTAGTCTATACCCTCTCAGACCTCAGCTGGAATGTCACCTTCCCTGGTCCCTGTCTAGATTACTTCCTCTCCCAAGTCACTTTCTTAATATTGTTTTAGCACTGACTGGTTTAGCTTAGTGGATAGAGCATTAACCTTCAAACTGAAGGGCCCCAGGTTTGATTCCAGTCAAGGGCACGTGCCAGGGTTGTGGACTTGATCCCCAGTAGGGAGCCTGCAGGAGGCAGCCAATCAGTGATCCTCTCTCATCACTGAAGTTTCTCTCTCTCCTGCTCTCTTTCTCTCTGAAATCAATTATATATATATATATATATATATTTTTTTTTTTTTAAGATATTGTATTTCTCACTTTTGGAATTCCTGCTTATTTGTTTTATTGTCTATATCCACCAACTAGAATGCAGGCTCCATGAGGCCATGCCTTGTTCTCTTCTGTATCTCCAGTGCCTGGCACGTAGCAGGGGGAAGTAAATGCTAACTCTTACCAGATTTGTTCTTGTTAACATTCTGATGTTTTGAACTCCTTGAAGACAAGGCTGATATTTTCTTTTTTTAGAAACATATTTCATTGATTTTTCACAGAGAGGAAGGGAGAGCGATAGAGAGTCAGAAACATTGACGAGAGAGAAACATCGATCAGCTGCCTCTTGCACATTCCCCTCTGGGGATGTACCCGCAACCACGGTACATGCCTCTGACCGGAATCGAACCTGGGACCCTTCAGTCCGCACACCGACACTCTATCCACTGAGCCAAACCAGCCAGGGCAAGGCTGATATTTTCTCATCTCTCCATCCCTACTGCTTAACCTAATAGGAACTCAAAATTGTTTTATTACTGAATGAATTAAGTGAGTTAATAAATATTAAATGCATGGAACATTTATTTTTTTTTTTTTTTTTTTTTTTTAAAATATATTTTATTGATTTTGTACAGAGAGGAAGGGAGAGAGATAGAGAGTTAGAAACATCGATGAGAGAGAGTCATCGATCAGCTGCCTCTTGCACACCCCCTACTGGGGATGTGCCCGCAACCAAGGTACATGCCCTTGACCGGAATCGAACCCGGGACCCTTCAGTCCCCAAGCCGACGCTCTATCCATTGAGCCAAACCGGTCCCGGCTAAATGCATGGAACATTTAATGCAATGAATGCTTTCTATTATTTTTTTCTTCAGTGAATGGATTCTTTAGAAAACCAAAACGTATAACAAAATCTAAAAAGAAGTGACCTAACTTTACTTTCCATTTCCAAATCACTTCATTGATTTCAGATTTATCATCCAGTCTTTTCTAGTCCTTTCTTCCCATACTTGTTGGAAGGGAACTGAGGAAGAGATAGGGCCAGGTCTCTTCTCAGGAAAAGAAGCAAAAATAGCCATCCTGTAGTTGTTCAATTTTGAAAAATGGTGACAATTTCAGGAACTTAGGATAGGACCAGTGCCAAGAAACGGGAAGGTCAGGAAGCGCCTGCTGGAGCCGGTCACCTCCGCCAAGAGCACGGGCTGGGACCCTCCAGCCTGCCTCATTTCATGCCCTCCTGAGCTGCTTTCACTTGCCTTCCTGAAGCCAGACTCCGGTGTTCCTCAAAATAAGCACTGGTGCAGGCTGCTCCTGAGCCTGGAATCTTTGGAAAGGAAGTGTGCCCTGTCCCTCAGGCTCCTGGGACCTCCTAGGCAGGCTGAACTCCCAGTAGGTTTGACTGGAAGTCTTGAGTCCTGGGAATCTTGAGAAGAAAATAACTGGACTCTGGTTGGCAGGTCCCCAGGGTAAGGCCTTCTGCCCTGCCCAGTCTGCTCCTCTGACTGGCTCCAGGGACTTGGCCTCCTTGCTGCCCAGAGCTGAGTCTCAGGGAGGTTGGTGACGTGACCAGCTCTGGGCTCTGGAATGTGCGCCCACAACTGGTTCCTGGTACCATAAAGAACAGCAGAGCATCTTTCTTACCATTGCCGAGGGCCTTCATCTCTGCCAGGGAATCTCGACTTGATGGTCAGTGTTTCTCCTTTGTCCCCTGCTGACTCTTCTCTCCCATCTCCTCTTACAGCCTTTAGAGTATGAGGCTCTCACCTCCACTGGCCACTCACTCGTGACCCTTCACCACGGCGGAACCTTCCAAGCCCACCTCTTGCCGTGTGGTGATCTACCTGAAGCGGGAGATGTCGGGGGATACCTGCTTGTGCCCAGCTTCAGGGGCCAAGCCCAAGCTAAGCGGCTTCAAGGGAGGAAGCCTGGGCAACAAATACGTCCAGCTCAATGTGGGCGGCTCGCTGTACTACACCACCGTGCGGGCACTCACCCGGCACGACACCATGCTCAAGGCCATGTTCAGCGGGCGCATGGAGGTGCTGACTGACAAGGAAGGTGAGGTATCGGGGCTTGTCGGGCTCGGTGGGAAGGGGAGGAGTTCCTGGGGATGTGACTTCAGGGCAGGGCGTAAGCCTGGCATATATATTCCAGGTTTACCCTTCCAGTTCACCTAGTACAGGACTCCGCCTGCAGTCCTTAATCGAGCTCCAGAATTCTATCTGGCATTGTACATAGATTATTGTGTGGCTATCCATACTTGGTTTTTCTTCACGTAGGACTACATTCTCATAAGAGCATCACCATAGTGGCGGGGCAGTGGGCAGAGGCAAACGGCCTGGTGGTTTCTGTGTTGTCGGGAGGTGGGCCTGAGCGTTCTGAGCTTAGATCTCTGCAGGCTCCACAGAGCCTGGAGGGCCTGTCTCTCCTACAGTACGTACCAGTTCTTGGTTTCAGGGAGGAGGAATGAGAGCAACAATGGACTTAAGAGCTTGAGGTTCTGTTTTCTGCTACCCTATGCTGTGGACTCAGTGCTCATGCGCGCTCTGCCACCTGTCATCAGGCTGTCAGGTGGCCTTCGCTGCTGCCTGCCTCTGAGGTACCTGGAGGCAAACAGTCCCCTCTGGGCCCATCTGAATCCCTAGGCTGGATCCTCATAGACCGATGTGGAAAGCACTTTGGCACCATTTTGAATTACCTCCGTGATGATACCATCATCCTCCCTCAGAACCGTCAAGAAATCAAGGAATTGATGGCTGAAGCGAAATATTACCTCATTCAGGGCCTGGTGAACATGTGCCAGAGTGCCCTGCAGGTATGGATGCAGAGTTGGGGCTGGTTGGTATGGTTGGGAGCTGGCCTCCTCCTTCAGGGACAGAGAGTCCAGTTCCTGGAAGGCTGTGTGGCAGGAATGGTTGATGAGTCCAAACCTAGTTAAATACACCAGCTGTTGCCCAGGCCAAGCAAGTGGGCAGCCAGTCAGTTTTGGAAGGTGGCACACTCGAGCCTTATGACTAGGCCCTGCTGCTAGCTTATAGGCTAGATACCTGCATTTTAGGTTTTCCAGAAATGGAAGTCTGCTTGCCAGCTGGCAGTTTCTGTTACCAGGGGCCTCCTAATCCGTCCGAGGCCCAGCAAGCAGGGGCGGCATGGCAGAGGGGCTTTGACAGCTCCTGGGGAAAGCTTGGCTGAGCCTGGTAAACAAGACCTCAAAAAGGCTGCTCGGCTGTGTCGCCTAGGACAAGAAGGACTCCTACCAGCCCGTGTGCAACATCCCCATCATCACCTCCCTGAAGGAGGAGGAGAGGCTCATCGAATCTTCCACCAAGGTACTGGGATTGCGGAGGGACTCCTGAGGGCTCAGGCTGGGGATTCCAGGGCTTGGCCCGGCCCTCACACTCTCCTCCCTCACAGCCTGTGGTGAAGCTGCTGTACAACAGAAGCAACAACAAGTACTCCTACACCAGGTAAGGTGGGCATCGGGGGGGTGGCGTTGGCACAGGTTGAGGGGGGGGGGCCTTGGGGAAGGGCTGCAGAAGCAGCTAAAGGAGACGAGCAGCCAGAGCGGAAGTTTGGCAGCAGACCAAGGGAAGCCACCTGCTCTCCTGGCATGGCTGGCACAGGTCTGGGGCTAAGGAGGGAAGGACAGAGAGTAGAAGGGAGATCAGGGCAGAGGCCTTTGGGACTTGGTGCAGAGCCTTGGCTGGAACGGACGAGACTGAACATGTAACACCCCTTTAGCATCTGTCATGTCAGGCAGCATGCCAGGTATTTTCCCAGCATCATCTATGGGGTGGAGGAGGGACACTGGGAAGCCAGTGGGCTGGGACTCCGCCTAAGCCAACGTTTGTCCTAGCCAGTTTCCCCCTTCCCTCCCTTCTCCCCCTATCCTGCGTCTTCTCAACAGGTCAGTTAGGCTGTAGGAGGCTGCAGGCTCAGAGTCAGCTCCAAACCTTCCCAGCATCACCCTTACAGCAAGGAAAGAATCCCGCTAAGATAGCAGCAAGCCTCCTTCTTTCCAGGCCTAATGAGAGACCTCCTCCCTCAGTTCTCTCTGCTTTAACTTAAAACCAACTCAACTGCTTTTCCACATAGGCCCCCAAACCCAGACGGTGCCCCGTGACGCTTTCTCTTCCTGTCCCCTCTGGCACCTTGACTTTTCCTCATTTCAGCATGCTGGGGGAGGGGCGGGGAGGGCCAGCGAGTGTCCTCCCTGTGCGGAACCTCATTGCCAGGCCTGCTGGCCCTCCTGGGTTTTTCAGCAACTCCGACGACCACCTACTGAAAAACATTGAGCTGTTCGACAAGCTCTCGCTGCGCTTCAACGGCCGTGTGCTCTTCATCAAGGACGTCATCGGGGATGAGATCTGCTGCTGGTCGTTCTATGGCCAGGGTCGCAAGCTGGCCGAGGTGTGCTGCACCTCCATTGTGTATGCGACCGAGAAGAAGCAGACCAAGGTAGGGCTTCCCTCTGCGTGGGGGGCAGGACACACACCGGGGAGTGAAAGGGGCATCCATTTGCTCTCTGTGATGGTGATAGGCAAGGATAAAAAACAATATAGGGGGCTCAGGAATGGCATGAAACTGTTTGTTCTGGTCAGCTGGGAAGGGGCTGCTGGTGCAATGGGAAGGACTGGATCTTTGGAGTTGGCCCAGTTCAGGTTTGAATTCTCGTGCCACAATTTACCAGTTTTCTGACTTTAGATAAGCCACCTAAACCATCTGAGCCTCAGTTTCCTCATTTGCAAACAGGGGAATGATAGTGCAAATTTAACAGAGCTCTTGTGAAAATGAGACAATTCTTAAGAGAAGCAGTGCAGTACAGTGGAAATAACTGTTGAGATCTCTTCTCTGGCCTCTGCTACTTGGGCTTCCTGCTCAGTCAGCTTAGCCTCTGCAGTAACAACAGAGTGCCAGGCACACATGAAGGATTTGTTAGGCGAGTAATCATAAGCTGCGCTAACCCGCTCTCCCACATGGTGTGCGGTCCGTGTCCTCCTGGGATAGTAGCTGCCCACCATGAGGGTATGTTCCGGAGACGGCCAGGCCTTGCTGGTGTGGAAGGGCAGCTCATCTGGGGGAGTCCTGTGCATGTGAAGGGCTCAAAGCAGCCATCTCATGTATTACCTTCTGACCCCCAGGTAGAGGGTCGGAGAAGGACAGCTCAGGGAGATGGCCCTGCTTCCTCCTGTCATTTTTGGGGTGGGAGCTCCCATGTGCAGGTGTCAGTGGAGTCAGGACTCGGGGTCAGTCTCTGGGAGAGTTAGTTACATTGTGGAAGTGGCAACAGCACCTGTTACTTTCCTGAGTTCTTTCTCTTTCTGAACTTTTTGACTCACATACCACACCTGTGAGGGGCAAGGCTAGAGCCATTCTCCCCATTGGCAGATGAGGGAACAGAAGTTCAAGATGACACAAGTCAGTCTAGAATTCAGGTGCCTTGAATGCATCCCTATCCATCTTCCAATTAATGTTCACAGCTCTCCAAGGTAGATATTAACCATGGTTTTACACCGGTGGAAATTCAGGCCTAGCAAGGTTAAGTCCAAGGCCACACAGCTATTAAGTACTTGAGTTGTATTTGTACCTAGGCTAACCACAAAGCCAAGGCCCTAACCTCTGCACATACTAGTCCATTGGTCTGGGATCCAAGAGGACATGGCGATGGTGCTAGTCTTCTGCATCCTTATGTGCACAGAGTACATCTCACACCTCCCAAGGGAGACCTGCCTCGGCCTCATGAAACAGAAAGCCAGCTGCCTCCTGAGAGAGTTCAGGAGGCATTATGAGCAAGCACAGGGTCAGGGCCCTGACATGCTGCTCCCTCTTTGGGGTAAAATCTTATTCAGTTCAGTCAGTCCTCTTGTCCCCTCACCCTAGGTGGAATTTCCAGAGGCCCGGATCTACGAGGAGACACTCAACGTCTTACTCTACGAGACCCCGCGAGTCCCAGACAACTCCTTGTTGGAGGCCACAAGCCGTAGCCATAGCCAGGCTTCCCCCAGTGAAGACGAGGAGACCTTTGAACTACGGGACCGTGTCCGTCGCATCCATGTCAAACGCTATAGCACTTACGATGACCGCCAGCTGGGCCACCAGTCTGCCCATCGTGACTGACAAAACCCTCAGGGAGCCAGGGCATGGGACCCCCCCGACTCCCGTCCTGTGGAACCCTGCCCTATTGGCCAGCCCACGCTGCTGCTGGCTGGGCTTCTGCTCCAGCTCCCACAGGCATGCTAGGCCCTGCCTGCGAGGTCAGAGGGCCTGAGTAGGGGAGGGACCACATTGCTTTGCCCTGCTCCCTGAGCACTTCAAAATGGCTGAGTCCTGGCCCCTTTGCTCAGCATCTCCCTTCCTGTGACAGGGAGCTGCTTCTGCCCCCGGGGTGAGTGGACTAATGTGCCCACATCCTGCTAGAGCATCCCCTGGGCCCTTTGCTAAATGCCCCTTTGCTTAGCCGAGGCCCACAGGAAGTGGGTCATTCTGTGGAGAAGGTGCTGCTGGTGCTGTGGAGGCCCAGTTTCTTACAAGGTGGGGCTCCTTTTTTCTTACGATGTTTAAGCACAGGCTTGAGGTTTGTGGGTTTTTTTTTAATCTAGGAAATGAATAATTATAGGTCTAATAATGAGGGGACTGGGTATCCCTGCTACCCCTCCAGGATGCCAAGACCCTGGAACGGTCTTCGTCTTTGGGAATCTATATCTTTAAAGCACTTTGTTCTTTTGTTCAGGAGATTTATATTCTTTCCTGACCTATGTTGTCTTTTTCTGACACTAATCCCCTCTTCCTGCAGAACCAATCTGAGGGAGGAGATAGAAGCAATAAAACACGGACCAGTTTTGGCTGCCAGGCTGGCCAAACAGCCTGCCCAGTGCTGAGAAAGGATGTGTCCGTTGGGACCTGTGGTCCTAATAGCAGCCCTGTGAGAAAGGACACTTTGCCCAACATCTTTCGGTCACATAACTGACTCCGAGGCCTTACATGATTGCTCTTTTTGATTCTCTTTTTTTTTTTTTTTTTTTCTTTTTTTTTTTTGTTTTTTTTTTTTTTTCTTTTTTTTTAAAATCACCGTGCCAGACTAGAGTCAAGCTCAACAGGGTCTTCTTTCCCCGCTGATTCCGCCAAGCCCGTTCCCTTGGCTGTGGTTTCGCTGGATAGTAGGTAGGGACAGTGGGAATCTCGTTCATCCATTCATGCGCGTCACTAATTAGATGACGAGGCATTTGGCTACCTTAAGAGAGTCATAGTTACTCCCGCCGTTTACCCGCGCTTCATTGAATTTCTTCACTTTGACATTCAGAGCACTGGGCAGAAATCACATCGCGTCAACACCCGCCGCGGGCCTTCGCGATCTTTTTGATTCTCTTGCTGTCAGCTCCAAGGAGTGATGTCCTTACTGTAAGGCCAAAACCATTTCAGGGGCCAGGAGAACGCGGCACAGCAGGAAGGCTGTGGAGCCCAGGACCACTGGACACTCCCCTGCATTCTCCGCAGCCCTGTGCAGACATGGTGTGTGCCTGGCCGTACATCCCCTCTCCCCCCACCAATTGGTTTTGTGTCCTCATTGGAGATGGAGATTCTTCCCAGGGTGAGTCTCTAAACACAGGATAATGTGAGCAGCCTAAGCCCCTTAAAAGGTTTCTTCATTCTGTCTTGTTGGGTAATTTAGCCATGGCAATGCCACGCACCAGCTCTTGGGCAAGGATGCAAGTTTCTCTTCAGGGCTCTGTTTTTCATTGTTTGGCTTGGCCCTTGGGAGGCTGCTTATCTGAATTATTTTCCAAAGGAATGCCATCAGGAAGGAATGTTCAGCCAGCCTAACAAATAACAAAGCAGCACAGCCACTTAGTAGTACCCACTCAGTCAAAAAGAGACATAAATTATCAAGTTTAGCTCTCAACTACTCTTACAATAAGCCTTTAAGTGGCTGTTCATGGCTGATTCCACAGAGTCTATGGGCAAATGCCAGGCCAGGGTTAATAGACACTCAACAAGGACCTGAAATGACATGATGGAGCAGGAAAATGTGACTCCAATCAGGTATTTACACTTGTCACAATGGATAGTTTCAGGTGAAGCACCCTCGTCATCAGCTATGAACAGTTCTTCTAGCCCTCAGCGAAGTAATAAGATGAAGACAAATCCATTTCTTTGGCCAGATTCTGGCTTTGGCTTTGCGCCTTTTTCACAGAGCCTGGAATAATTCTGAGGCCACTGGCCTACTTCCTCAACTGTCCTCCTGATGTCCTTTAACACTCAAAGTCCCAGGTCCCCACTGAAGTGTTTTATAATGATTGTCCTTTGATCATTACAGCTCCTGAAACCTCTTTACTGCTTTGACATTCAGATTCTCTGCTCAGTTGTGACTAGTCTTCTGGGACTCTGAGACACTTCTCCCTGACTGAAAATATTTCCTTATCCTTAAGAAAAATAGTAAATTGAGCTCAATGAAGTAATCTTAGCTTTTTAAATCGAACTGTATGGTGTAAGAACGGAGAATTTTGCATTTCCTAGCCCCATTCAGAAAACACTATTGATTGTCTGAATTTTTCAACTCTGAGCAGCCCAAAGGAAATGTAAACAAAAAGTGTGGGTGAAGGTCAAATCTTCTTATCAGTTGCTCCGAACACTAGAAGCCTGCTGTTAAGGACATGAGTGAATATTGGGTTTTATTCTGTTTGTTATCTGACCAGGGTCTGCCTAATGGATGGTACAGGTCCTGTCATGAGGGAACTTCTGTATCATACAACTACAATTCTTTGTTCTGCACAGGTGATGGAAACAAACACTAATTTCTAATAAAATTGTTATACTACAGTGGTACAGAGCCGTGCTTACGGAGAGTACAGCTTGGTCAGCTTGCTGCAATGGATGTAGTTCTTGTATTTGTGTTCACCACCTGACCTCCTGTTCTCCCTATTAAGTCCAATTGCACTTAATTGTTCTGCAACACAGACTCCCCCTGGTGGAGGATTAAGGACAACACTAATAAGGGCCAGAATGGAGATTTAATATTAATTCAAGATTAAAATGACTGCTTTAGCAATCACTATGGTAGTGGGGAAGCAGGAACCCGAAGAATCAGGGCAAAGTGCAGCATGTTTCATCTCTGGCTCTTGGGGATCTGTGAAAAGCTCAGAAGGTAGCTTGGCTTAGTCACCACCCATACCTAGAGCTCCTCGGCTGAATTTCTGCATTTGTAGTCTGGAAGCTTGACAAACCTGTGCTGAAGGCTGGCAGGCCCACTGCTCCAGGAAATCTGGTTGGCTTGCCTCATTTCTCTCCCAGGCCCAATGAGGCCAGAGATGCCAATGGTTGGCCAGCATTAAGAGCCAGACTTGGCAGAAGGTAGAGAACTAGTCCAGCCCAGCCCCCACCCCACTGACTGAGAGGCACAGTGATCCTGGGAGATGTCTAGCCAACCCCAAGCCTCAAGAGGGAAACACACATACCCTCGTAGAAAGGGAAGCAATCAAGCGCCCTCCCTAGGTCAAAAAGGGAGCCTGAGACCGTGGGGGCAGAAATGGCGAGGATGGCCAAGCGTGCACTGGTTTATTGACCAAACCTCACATTCCAAACAACTTGGGTGACCGACTAGGAAACTCCTCTGAGCCTGTGGCAGCCAAACAAAGAGTTTCTGGTGGGAAGGTCTACTGGAACACGGTGTAGGCGGGGCTTACAGGGGTCAGCCTTGGAGGAGTTCTACATGGGTCTTTGGAGAAAAGTTACAGTCCATCCACCAAAGGAAAAACCCCACATTCAAATAGCAAAAACTATTAAGACAACCACTGTGGCCACAATGGAGAGTTCTGCAGCAATTGTGGGATGACAGCTGTTCAAGGACTGCGCCTGCCCATTCAGGGCCTCAGCTGGCCTACCAGTGAAGGCCTGAGGGTGGTGTCTTCTCATCTTTATTGCTTTCCAGGGAGAAGGGAGGGATCCGGACATCAAAGTGGGAGCCATCAGGCCTCTCAAAGCGGAACGTCCCCCTGTGGGTCAGAGAAGCCAGTTTAGAGGGAAGGCTGAAGCCCTCTTGAGTATCTGGATAGCCCTATGTCCTCAGCTCCAGAAGCATGGCAGAAGACAGGCCTGGCTCATGCCAGCCTAACACTGGTCCAGAGAACCAAGAGTCCTTCTTGCCCCTACATGAGAAGAAAAAATACAGCTGTCCTGATTCTGGCCCTTAGATGCACACTGCATTTAAAAAAACACCAATTACAGTCCTCGCTGGTTGGGCTCAGTGGATAGAGTGTTGGCCTGTGGACTGAAGGGTCCCAGGTTTGATTCTGGTCAAGGGCACATGCCCAGGTTGCAGGCCAGGTAGGGGGCATGCAGGAGGCAACCAATCAATGATTTTCTCTCATCACTGATGTTTCTATTTCTGTCTCCTTCCTCTCTGAAATCAATAAAAAAATATATTTTCAAAAATTCAATTACACTTTCAGGTTAAGGAGTAGAATACCAGGGAGGGTAGGGGGATCAATTATGTAGGCAACACTGCATCATCAAATCACCAGACCTCTTTAGCTGAAGTCCTTACTCCACAAAGCCACAGGGAACTGGAAAACAGTCAAACAACCAGACAAATCCCACAACAATGAACAGCAGGTAAGGCTCCATCTCAGGACTTAACTTGGCCCAGAATTAATTGCAAAGCTATGAGCCCCCACTTTTCTGACCTGCAGCTTGTTCTGTGGAGTTAAACTGTCCCTGCCCCAGCACACCCTCACTTACCACATATGCCCACTGGAAGCTTGCAGGGAGACGTGGCTGCTGTACTGGAATGCAGGCTGCTCCTTGGATAACACCGGTTCCTGTTAGGGTTCAAGCAAAATAGGTCAGGCCCGACAAGCTCCCTGAACCCTGTGGCCAGATCAGGACTGGATGCCTCCTCATGCCTCCCACAATGACTGCCTGCCTGTGCTTCCTCCACTGCACAGCATGGACCTGGGAAAGATCACCTTAGACTAAATGTCTGAGGGCACTGGGCAAAGATGCTAGGCACAGGACCTACTCTGTAAATACCCTCCCAGCAACCCTCTGCTGAGTGCCTAAGTACAAGGCACCATGGCGGTGCTCTGCAATCCTTTGCTGACTCAAGTCTCCAAGTACTCACAGGTAAAGGTATAATCCCCATTTCAGCAGTAAGAAACTGAGATTTTGGTTAAATAACTTACCCAAGCTATGCAATGAGTAAAGAACATACCTGGCATTTGAAACCAGTCTAACTCCAAAGCTCTATTCTTACTCTCGATCCCACCCTGCTTCCCCAAGACCCTGCTAACTTGGATAAATGCTTGTTCAATGTGACCCCTGGCCACTTCTCATGACTTTATTTCTCAGGAAATGGTGGGGTAGTACAGGAATTGCAAAATCTGATTTCCTCAAGGACCAGCAGAGGATGCAAGCATGTAAAAAGGTAGAGGAAGGACAACAGGAGTAGTGGGAGCATGCTCCATCCAAGGGCATTCAAATTCAGATTTTTAAAAAGGCACTGTGCTAGCTACAAAAACTCTACACCAGCTTTTCTCTTTAACCCTCACTCAAGGATACGATTTTAATTGATTCTACAATATAAAGAGGAAGGGAG